GTATTCAGCGCCCTCCGCCTGCACTTGCCTGTAAGCGCCCGCCTGGGGCTGCCCACCCTGCCTGGATGCCTGTCCCTGTGCGTGTGGCTCTGTTTGTCTGCCCGTCTGCTCGCATGACTTTTTGCTTGCGTGTTTATCTGTCCATCCGTGCCCCCTCTCTCGGGTCCCACTGATCACCTCTCCCTCTTTCTCTCGCAGGTGTTTACACTTTCTACTGCTGTGCTTCCAGGTTCAGGTACGTGGGCTTCAGACTGAGAGGCTCCCCCCTCCCCCGCGCGCACTCTTCCTAGAGGTTCGGGCCGACCCCCCTTCCCGGGACCGCGCCCCCTCTCGGTGCCCCACCCCTCCTGGGCAAGAAGCCCAGTGCACCTGTTCCCAGGGCGCGGAAGGGCGGCTTCGCGCGCGTCCTGAGCTGGCGGTGTTGGGCCAAGGGCTAGGAGCTGCTGCGGGGCTCTAGCCAGTGCGGGCTATCGCGGCCGTGGTCTGTAGATTTCCCAGAGCCCAAGGACTCAGCCCAAGCGATGTGCGGGACACCAATCCCCTACTGCAGCTGACGAGTGGTAGGGACCTAGGGGTTTCCTCTGCCAACTGTCCCTTTACAGCCTGCTTGTGCTTGCAGACAAAAAGGTTGTTTTCAGTTGAGTGGATTTTGAGTCCAGAGAGAGCTTTAGTTGTAAATTACTCTGTGGGTGGGAGAAGAGAGAGAGAGAGACAGAGAGAGAGAGAGAGAGAGAGAGAGAGGAGACCGAGACTGACTGTTCCCCATCCTGCTGCGCTCCGCTCCACATGTCCTTGCCCAAGGTGGTGCAGCCCAGGGCTTGTTCCCTGCCTGGTCCCCGTTCACTCTTTGTGAATCAGAAGAGGGCTTGGCGCTCAGCCTGGAAAGCACTTGCTAAAATCTGATCTGTTACTTCAGCAGCTTTCAGACTCGGGAAGGTCTTGGCACACAGACAGTTGGAATGCTCTGGCTTCCAAAGCCGTGGAAATGAAGGAAAAGAGGGGGGGGGGGGGTAGGGCGTCGACTTCAGCCCCGATTAGAACCAGACCAGGGCTGCCTCAGCGTGGTGTGTGTGCGGGGTGTGGGGGGGGGGTTAGGCAAAGGGAATAGGAAACACCAGCTGCCCAATACCTCCACCTACCTACAGCGAAAAGGGAGGAGACTTAGGATAAACTGGACACAGGCCAAAAGAGGATTATCTGTCCCCTCCCCCCTCTCCGTGAAAGGCAGGTGTCCTTGCAGGGCTAATGGGAAGATGCTTGATCGGAGCCTTCTGAGTTCTAGAGATGTCTGGAGACAGCCCTGTACGAGGGCCAGAGGTGGTTTTCTCAGTTTTCTGGTACAGGAAGCTTGTGTGTAACTGCTGCTCGATCAGTGCTTGCTGTTTGTCTCATGCATCTCTTCCCACTCTTTGGAGAAGGCTGCTCCTTGGGACCGGCATGAAGCTCAGGGCAACCAGTTGAGACTGGGGACTGGAAGGCTAGATGGATGGACAGACTGATGGCCTCTTTCCTTCTGTTGGCCAGGCTGGGGTCCCCAGTGACTCCTTGAATCAATACAACCGGAGTCAGTAACTTAACGCTGGCTGTTTGCCAAAGCAGATGTGACCCTGTGTGGCGAAGCGGGTGTGTGTGTGTGTGTGTTGGTGGGGGGGGGGATGGTCGATGTTAGGGAAGAGAGCCAGTGCCATGCATGGGCTGCTAGTTTGTCTGCAGCTGAGTCCCCAAGCAGAGGGCAGGTTCCAGGGTCACTCCAGGGGGTCTGCTTGTCTGGCTGGCCGAGCCTGGGCAGGAGTTGAGGAAATGGGTGTGGAGGCCGAAAGGAACCTTTGGATCTTGCTGCCCAAACCTGCGCAGCATGCTTGCTGCCCTCCGTTCTTCTTTAAGTAGGGCCCGGGAGGGGCTGCCGGGTGGTCTTTGTGTTCTCTGATGGGAATGTGAGGGAGGGCGTCTGCCTCCCACTTCCACCTCTGGGCCAGAACTAGAGCCAGCGTCTCTAGGCAGGAGCCGGGTGGTCTGCTTGGGTTAGGCCAAGAGGCCGGATCCATGCAGGTGAGGGAACCTCCCCTCTTTCCCTCCCATCACCCTTCTTTTGCCCCTTTGTCCCCTGCAGCCACTCCACTTTTTTGAACTGCATAGGGCTGGTGTTTTTAGCCGCTGGTCTTTATCCTTGGGGCTGGCTGGGGAGTGTCCTTGAAGATAACTCAGGATAGTTATTGGTGTGTCTGGAAGAGGATTCATAGCAATCCTCCATATATATATATATATATATATATATATATATATATATATATATACTGTCCAGTATTCCTAAAAGGTAAATAAATACCAGAGGAAATGATTAACGGACTCATGGTCACGTTACAGTTCAGAGGCAGGGATAGAGTGGCCATTACTGGTAGAGATGAAGATGACCACGAGTGTGAGGTCCAAGCGTTGCAGAGGCAATTTTGTCCGATGCTGTCCTGGGCAGGCTGCACAGGAGCACGCGCAGAGGGAATGCCTTTGGTGTAAGTAGACCAGAAGGACTTCCTACGTGAGGAAAGGCCCCAAGGACTTGGCAATAGGTGATCTCTGCCAGAGCCCAGCTTCGTTGTGTCCTCTCCGCCCTGTCTGTGGTTCTACTGTAGGAGTTCAGTTTCATCCTTTGTGAAAAGTGGCCCTTAACCTGGAGCTCTGTGTGGCTGGGGCAGAAGAAACGTTGCAGATGGTGACCCAATCCGGGAGGCGTGTCGGCCAACTGAAGAGCTAGTGTACTTCCATCTTGACTATTTTAGGGGATTGGTAGAGTTTTAGCGATGGAATTTCTGGAGACCTCCCCTCCTCCCAGCCCCTCAGTCACCAGGCCTCAAATGGATTCCCCTAAGTTGGGTTTCCATGAACGCACTCAATGCCAGATACTGTCCTCCGCCCACCACCAGTGTGGTGAGCCCCGCCTTCACCCACTGACCACCCTGGGAAGTGGGAAGCTGGGAATTTAATAAAACCCCTTCATCCTTTCTCCACACGACTCAGGACACCGCAGATAGCTCAAATCAGAAGAATTTAAAAAATTTCCGCGGGGAGCAGGCAGCGTGACCAGTAAATTGCTTTTCTGCACTTGGCTGAGCTCTGACAATGACACCGGGCCAGGCTTTTCACGAAGCTCTGCCGGCACCTGCCCGACATTGTTCCTGCCGCCAGGCTCCACTAGGTCCTTGCCTTCCTTAGACAGGCTAGCATAAGGCAGGCCAGTGCGGGAGGTATGTGTGTGTGGGGGCTTCCTCCAGCCTCTTCCCTCCTGCTAGCCCCTTGTTCTTCCACAGGGCTACTTCCTGTCTCACCAGGAGGTGTCGGAGTTTGGAGTTCTAGTCATACCCCCCCTCCCCGCTTGGTCTGACCACCGGCACCTAGCCTCCTTTCTGAGGCTGAAAGCCTTCCTTTAGGCTGGCCAGGTTGGAGATGCTAGGGATGGCCTTTGCATCAAGAGGAAGATGGAAAGCTGTCCCATTGGATGGTGTCTATCTATCTATCTATCTATCTATCTATCTATCTATCTATCTATCTATCTATTTATTATGTATACAATATTCTGTCTACGTGGCACCAGGCCTCATTACAGATGGTTGTGAGCCACCATGTTCATGCTGGGAATTGAACTCAGGACCTTTGGAAGAGCAGGCAATGCTCTTAACCGCTGAACCGTCTCTCCAGCCCCCATGGATGGCGTTTTAAGTTATTAAAAGCAGCATTATTCATTGGTCCATTCAGCTGAATTTCCATTCAGCACTTAGCCTGCTTCTTGTTGGCCCTGGGAACCTAGACAGTCGGTCCTTGTTGAACCTAGACAATTCCTGGCCTCAAGATTCTCCCAGCCTAGAGGGGGACACTGCTGGATGTTTCAGCATTATGACGTGGTCTTCCAATTCCTGGGAAGCATCTTACCTAGGTGCAAACGGGGTTGACTGTAAGAATGTAAGGCATCTCATGTAGGGAAGCGATTTTCTTCCTCCCAGCTTTCTACGGGAAAGTCAGGTAGGATGGAGTCACATTCCTGCCTCACAGACGGAGAAAGCCAGATAGAGAACTAGCCAGGAAGGGATTTGTTCAGGGCCATGGCTACAAGCCAAGAATCTGGATTTAAGATCTTGTATTAATCCTATCTCTTCTAGAAGGAATCCTGCAGTTTACTAGTAGGGGAAAAAGTCCCAGGAAGCAGGCATGCTGGGGATCCTTAATGGGAAGGATCTCACGAGGATCGGTGACTCTAATAGAGGGCAGCTGCCTCCCTGTTCCTGACAGGGGTCTCCACTCTCCTGGGAAAGTGCTGATCTTGGAGGGCCCCAGAGCTAGATGTGGGTGCCTCCTTCCCAGGGCAGAAAGAGGGGAGGGGTGGGGCACCCTGCCAGCATTCTTGCAGTCAGGGAAGGTCACCCACTTGCTTTGAGATAAGGAGGTGGATTTTTAAAATTTCTGTGGTTGGCGCAGCCAGTGTCAGTGGACCGGGGGCAGCCTGTCAGAGTCACAGGTGTGGCCTCCTCCCTGCCCTGGGGCAACACTGTGGTTCTCTGGGCCCCCAAAGGAAGGCTGAGAGGGAACAGGGAGGATGCATCTATCCCCAGTATGACTTTGTGGTTCTGACTTGGTCCTGTAGCAGGAAAGCCTTGTGGGGGTGCTGGCCCGCAAGGCTGCTGACAAGAGAGAGCTCCAACCCACTGTGTTCGCTGGGTACCTGGTATTGTCTTAACACTGCCGAGGTTCTAGCTCACCACCAGTTTGGGGTTAGAGAGCAAGGGTCTCAGCACTATCCAGTAACCCATCCTTGGTCACACAGCAAAAAGGAAGCAAAGCTAAGGATTCGACTCTGACTTCCTGAATCTAGGGCCCAGGTTAAAAGACAATTTGAAGGCTTTCCATTCATACAGCTTGGTTCAAGCTGTGGCTCTGTATTCTGTGTGCTGTGTGACCTTGGGGCGAGTTATTTCACCTCCCTGATGCTTAACTTCTGTGTGTGTAAAATGGCAAAAATACCATTCTCCCCTCCAAACAAACAAAAGCCCCAATAAAATAGTAGCTGTCCTCTAAGAGGATTAGATGGCAGTTCTAGGCCTGACTGCTGCGTCTCTGGTCCTAGGAGGATTCTTGCCTGCCTCTGTTGCCTGTCGTGTGTGTGTGTGTATATGTGTGTGTGTTCATCTGTTCTGATGAACTCGTGTGTGTCCTTGACTTGGCTGACCAGACTATTCACTAAAAGGGCCT